TCACAGTCCAGAGACCTGTACAGAACACAGCTGTCAACTTCCATGATGGCACAGTGAAAACAAGCACAGTCACCTTCATTAAAAATGAATTATTTGGGACAAGGTCCAAAATAGGGTTTAAGTCATTTTAACCATTTAGATTCTGCTAATTCCTAGCGCTAGAGGTGCCTCCATTGCTTAACTGTAACTTTTTGCTTCTGTATTCCCAGAATTGTCCTAGTCTGAGCATCTTGGTGCTTATTTCCTATGTAAGTGTAATTGAAGGTTAGAAACTAGATGTCCTCCTATCTACATCCCTTAAGGGCTGCAGGTCAGGCACTGGGGGGATCTAACACTCCCCAGCCACCTAAGCAGGCTGATGTGCTCCCGTGCTAAAGTAGGTAGCATGGGCACCTAACTCTTGTTTACAGTTTCTACAATGAGGGCCAGGCCCCAAAGTCAGAAGCAGTTCTAGACCTAATACTAACACATGACCAAGTTCAAGAGGTGTCTATTGGTAATCTACTCTGGAATAGCGATCATAATTTAATTGCCTTCAACGTTCTAGTGGGAGGGGGCAAGCCAAAAAATTTCACCATGAAGATGTACAACTTTAGAAAGGGAAATTACACAACAATGAGAATTTTAGGAAGAAGTTAAAAGGAGTAGTCAGAACTGTTAAGGGCCTGCAGGCAGCTTGGAAGCTCTTTAAAATACTATGTTAGAGGCTCAGGAAAACTGATAATACAAATCAAAAGGGATACCGAGTGGCTGAATGAAACTTCTGCATGGTTTACCAGCAGTTAAAGAAACCATTCAAGGCAAAAAGATACCTTTCAAGAAGTGGAAGTCTTGCCAAAATGAGGAAAATGGGAAATCTCACAAATTCTGGCAGGTCAAATGTAAAAGAAAAAGCAACCAAAAAAGAATTTGAGGACAGTGTAGCAAAAGATGCTAAAGTTAATCGTAAAACTTTTTAAAAATATATCAGAAGCAGGAAGCCAGCAAAAGAATTGGTGGGACCATTACTTGACCATGGTGTAAAAGATGCACTTAGGGTTGATAAAGCCATAGAAGAGAAGCTAAATAAATTATTCGTTTTTCACTAAAGAAAATACTGAAGAAATTCCCATGCCTGATCAGTCCTTCCTAGTAAATGGGTCTGAAAGGTTGGACCACGTTGAAATGACAACAGAAGTTTTAGAGTAGATTGATAAATTAAATGCTAGTAAGTCACCAGGACTGGATGGCATTCATGTAAGGGTTCTGAAGGAACTCAAAGATGAGATTGCAGAACTGTTGGCAGTAGACTATAACCTGTCATTACAAATGGCCTCAGGCCAGAACACTTGTGTGCTGCCAACATAATGCCCATCTTTCAAAAGGGCTTCAGAGGTGACCCTGGGAACTGCAGACCAGTGAGTTTTACTTCCCTCCCTGGCAAGTTGATAGAATCTATAATGAAGAATAAGTTCAGTAATTACATGGACAGATGTGATAATCTGGGGAGGAGTCAGCATAGTTTTTGTAAAGGGAAATCCTGCCTCACCATCTGCTGGAGTTCTTTGAGGGTGTTAACAAGCATATGGACAAGGGGGATCCAGCTCACATAAGCTTTTTGGAAGTCCAAATATATTTTGACAGGTTCCCTCATCAAAAGCTTTTAAAAAAACCCGTGTTGCCACAGGATTGGAGGGCAGGTTCTTTTGTGGATTGAGACCTGGCTGAAAGATAGGAAGCAAAGGGGAGGGATAAATGGTCACTTTTCAGGATGGAGGGAGGTCAAAAGTGGGGTTATTCAGAGATGTGTGTTAGGCCCAGTTTTGTTCAGCTTTTTCATCAATGAGCTGGAAATGGGAGTGCAGTCTGAAATCTCAACTTTGTAGATGCTTCCAGGTTATCTGTGTAGTCAAATTCTAGGCTGACAGAGCGGAGCTGTAGAAAGATCTCGCTAAGTTAAGTTAGTGGGCAAAAAAATGGCAGATAAACTTCAGTGTTGACAAGTGCAGAGTGTAATGCACCTGGGGAAAATAATCTCAACTAAATGTACAAATGCTCAGTTCTGAAGTAGGTGTTAAAACTCAGGAAAGAGATCTTGGAGTTTTTGTGATAGTTCTCTAAAAATGTTAGTTCAATGTCCAGAGGTGACCAAAAAACCAGCCAGTAAGATGCTGGGAATCATTAAGAAGGGAATAGAAATAGAATACAAAATGGAGAACACCATTGTACTATTATACAAATCCTTAGTGCACCCATATCTTGAGTACTGTGTACAGCTCTGGTCTCTGCATCTCAAAAAGGATATAGTAGAATTGGAAAAGATATAGAGAAGGGAGAATTGTTATTCACCAAGTCCCAGATTACTAGAGCTACAAGGCACCCACTGAAATTAGCAGGAGACAGGATTAAAACTACCAAGAGAAAGTACTACTTTATGCAATGCAAAGTTAATTTGTGGAATGCATTGCAACAAGAGAGGGTAGAGGCAGATAGCATAGCCAGGTTCAAAAAGGGACTATATAAATTCATGCATGATAGATCTATTAATATCTGTTGAACCAAACTGTTGGCGATGTTTCCTCTGGCATTTCTAAACCAATAAAAGTAGATGCCAGGAAAGATGATGAACAGGGGTTAGATCACTCTAGATATATCTGGTTCAGTTCTCTCCCTCTAGTCACATTATTGGGTTAGATGGACTACTCGTCTATCTTGGATCCATTTTTTACATCCAGGTCCTTTACTGGACCTAGCTTTTTTTTCCTGCTTTTTCAAAGTTTTCTATTGTCAGCAGTCAGCTTCATTAATAAGCTCTGCCTTTTGGGACAGTGCAGCTTGTCTGTGAGAAAGCCCAAGGTAGAATATTCTTAGCTGAGAGTATCCAAAGCCAGAATGAGCTTCCAGAGGAGGTCAGATTAATCCCTGGGAGCCCAACCACTATTAGAATGTGGCACAAGACCAACTAACTGTTTCTACCAAACCTAGTGATGAGAGCAGAAAACATATTCCCCCACAAAGTCTCCTTAATGAGGGACAGGGAAAGAGCAGAAAAGTACATGAAATCCACTAGGGACCATTTCGTGCAGGTTTAATGTGCTTAGGAAGGCCTTGGCTGCCACAGCATTGGCCACTATGGAAAATGCTGATGTATTTATGTATGATATATATTTTTGATAGGGGAAACTCTCCTAGCATTTACACCAAGGAATAATTATAATTTGAAAATAATGCAAATTTCTTCCTATAAATTTACAGGATAAACATCATATCATAATAGATCTCTCTAGATATAGATACAGGAATACAGGATAGAGGAAGCTGCTATTTGTTGTATCTTCTGTTCATCCATTGTATCTTGTTACATTTAAGTGCTTATGCCATACAAAACACTAGTATTTGTTCATCTTTTCACTTGTTTTAGACATTGAAAATTCCTTAGTGAAGAAATTGTCTGTCTCCTTTTCTATTTGGAAAGTGCTAACAGATGTTATGGGAAAAATAGTTATTATTGTTCTCTAAGGTCTAGGACCAGGTACAGAAATTCAAAAAGCCCAAGAATTGATCTAAGTTGCACTGTTTTCTGTAAGTGGTATAGTTTAGATCAGTAGTAAACAAAAAACACATTTGCCCTTTGGTGGGTGGGACAACTTTTAGACTGGGTTCCACCATTTCTCACCAGTCTGTGTGCACTGAACTTCTGTTATGGGTATAGACCAGTTTCTCAACACTTATAACGGTAAAAGTGTAATGTCTGTACCTGGTTTAAGGTCTTTAGAATTATTCCTATGGAATTTAAATTTCTGTACAACTCGGCTTGTTCCATTCTTTTTATAATCCATGATATCTCTGTAAAGGCAGAAAAAGACCGCACTCTTTTAAAGAGGTTTACTTTGGTTTGTTTTAAAACACCCAGATCCTGGTTGAGATTAAAAACATTAATTAATGCTCATTGCTTATAAATAGTGTGTATAGACGTAGTTGTTTTTGTTTTACAGGTTATCTTCAGCTCTCTGATACTGAATAAAATATTCACTTCCTTTCATGTTCATTTGTGTTACCTTAAATACTACAGGTGAAGGAAGTTTGGAGAATTATTTTTGTAATTTCATCTGTCAGCCCTTCATCTCTGAGTTGAGTCAGTTAGTTTTGATATTTGAATAAGCACTGCCATGCACTCCCCCTCAATAAACTCTCTGTCTTTCTCTCCTGATTAATATTTTAGGCTGGTGCCTTTTTCTATTCATTCAGTTTACTAACAGACAAAAATACTTAATTTATTGATGCTCATAGTATTTTTCTTTCTCTTTTCTTCCCATAGTCCAAAGAGTCCTCATCTGTGCTTAGCTGTGATATCTCTGTGGATGACAAATACATTGTCACTGGCTCTGGGGACAAGAAGGCAACAGTCTATGAAGTTATTTATTAAAGACAAATCTGAATGCAAAAAGGACTCCTCCTCGTAGCACTTTGCTGTATATTCCTTTCCCCCCCCCCCCCCAAAATGAG